TATTTGGCTACTGAGTCAATTAGCTATCTTGCTGGTAATGGATAGGTCATTAACAAAACCAATCATGCTGCTTAGGTGCTGTTAAAAATTTAACACCATGTCCATGTTCCTTATTTCATCATCACTATGATGCACCTGTGGTAAATTAATTTCATGTTGACATAGTTGAGCCATTAATGAGATGACTATGCTGATTGTCTAATATTTCTTCTCAGAGCATTAGAAACAAACAAAAGTACATTATCTGCTATAGAACAGAAACATTCTCACTATCATAAACATTTCAAGGTAAACAAATGTACTGAAAATCTGCCACAGTTTAACAAAAATTTACAAAAGAAAGCTTGTCCATCACTATTTCATCAATATTAAACTCCATTTCAAACATGAATCTGATAGGTGTAAAACTCCATACATATATATAATGATACATTGGGGATAGATATGAACCAAATCTGCTGAGAGGTTCTCAAGATATGACATTGATTTAGAACAGTATGGGATGGAACAGGACATGATGGAGAATGGCCAGACATGTGTTACACAACTGACACTCTCTTTCTCCCATACAATTACAAGACACAAAACAAGAGGCCCATGGGCTTTAACGGTCATCTGTCTACAAAAACTTTCAGCAGGGAGAAGGGTTGTTTTTTTTAACTTTGAATGAAATCTTACTAAGAAGCTGTTTTCCATGATGCAGATGGTAGTTTTGGTGAGTAGTAGGTAACTGTAAGTGTTACCTTTATTTCGACAGTAGAGTTGGAGCTCAATCCAACTGGTGAAATTTAAGAAGTTTGAAATAGGTGTTGCACAGGAAAACCACGATTGCACAATCATGTCACAAAATTACCTCCCTGACTGCCATATCGAAGTTTTCACAAGGTCCAAAAATACGACACTTTGTTGGCTACCTTTTTTTAACATCCCTACCAATTTTTAGCTCAATGACACCAGTGGAACTGGAGAAGTTTAAAATATGTTTTTCAAGATGGTGGCCATGGTGGCCATCTTGGATTTCAGACATACCTGAAAAATAAGAACACTTTTCATATTATCTCAGGATCTTTTCATGCAAGTTTGAGCTCAATACCACTTGTGGAACTGGAGAAGAAGTTTGAAATGTCAAAAGTTTATGCACAGCACATGGTAGATGATGACAGATAAGCACAAAGGTTGTTCTATCAAAGGTAAGATAAAAATAACATTCTGGACATAGCAGGTTACAGATCAGCGTAATATCTGGCTCCTATTGATGACACGTAATCATTCACATTGCCTGACCCAGAGCTGCAGCATCGCAGAGGGAGAAATACATGAACATTATTGAAAGTTTGAATATGATTTCTTAGACTATTCAATTTGTTGAATAAAGAAAGCTGTATCATACTACACATATACATTCACAGCTTTGACAACAACATTTATAGTACCTGTCTTAAGAACTCTCTCTGATTTTCATGTAGCTAGAGGCTTCTAGAAAAACACCATAACCTACAAATTGATGTATCACAAACAGTTTTTGTACAAATCTGTAAGGTCAGAATGTATCTTGAATGACACAATAAGATATGAGTTCTAGTCTTAGGGCACAAGTCTTTATAGAGTTTTATTATCAATCACATTAGGGTGTCCTTTGAGAAGTGGCATCTATCTGATATTAGAAATGTCAGAATTCCTTTGATAGCTTTATCAAATCTCAGCCTTCTCCTGGAAGGATCTTAACATTTAGCTACATACCAATAGGAAAAAATATTAAACCTTGCTTGGTAAAAAACAAGTAATGGTGCACTGTACAACTTTTGTACTGCTGATACAGTTCCACTAGACTACATTTTTTCAAAGATATTGCCATATTTAACCTATAATAAGTCCAAGGGCCAACAAAACAATTCTGAAACAAAATCAGGTATGAGCTTGTTACTGGACAATAAGTCAAGAGGGGGTCCAACATCATTCGGACTCAAATTCAGGGGTGGGCTCGTTACAGGACAATAAGTTCCAGGGACCAACATACCCCAATCTGACTTAAAAGATAAGTATGGGCTTGTTACAGGACTACAAGTCCAGTGGGGCCACACACAAATTCTGAATTAAAGTCAAGTGCTTGCTTATTACAAGCAATAAGTCCAGGGGACCAACACACTGATTCTGACTCAATGTCAGGTGTGGGCTTATTACAGGACAACAAAAAAACTATTTGTTAGTAATGCAATTGAACAGTGACAGATTAAGGCTGGCTTATCACCAGGCATTGGGCTTACATGCTTATATTGTGAAAATTAGAATAGACAGAATAAGTTCACAGAAAGCAGGTAACAGCCAAGGTAGTCTAAGATTAGACCAATAGTGCGGAAAACCGTAGGATCTGACGCAATGCTGAACGTCACCTTTGGGACAAGTTGATATAATCTACTTCACATGGACGTCAGTAAGCCACCTTCAATCACAAGTACTTGGCTGTAAAATGCTATGGAGTTTTTAAAAGGTAGGCTAATACACACACTGACGCAACAAATTCACAGTCATGACATTTCTTAAAACTTTTTAATGATGATGAAATATCTAATTAGTTTGCAGTCTTGGATTTTTTTTGTGCTGTCATAATTAAAATGAAACTTTGAAGAAACATAGGCCTGGTATCTTTATAATGACAGGAAAATGAAACATTTAAGAAATGTAGGCCTGGTATCTTTATAATGACAGGAGAAGAAACATACGCCTGGTATCTTTATAATGACCGGAAAATGAAACATTTAAGAAACATAGGTCTGGTATCTTTATAATGACAGGAGAATGAAACATTTAAGAAACATAGGCCTGGTATCTTTATAATGACAGGAGAAGAAACATAGGCCTGGTATCTTTATAATGACAGGAGATGAAACATAGGCCTGGTATCTTTATAATGACAGGAGATGAAACATAGGCCTGGTATCTTTATAATGACAGGAGAATGAAACATAGGCCTGGTATCTTTATAATGACAGGAGAATGAAACATTTAAGAAACATAGGCCTGGTATCTTTATAATGACAGGAGATGAAACATAGGCCTGGTATCTTTATAATGACAGGAGATGAAACATAGGCCTGGTATCTTTATAATGACAGGAGATGAAACATAGGCCTGGTATCTTTATAATGACAGGAGAAGAAACATAGGCCTGGTATCTTTATAATGACAGGAAAATGAAACATTTAAGAAACATAGGCCTGGTATCTTTATAATGACAGGAGAAGAAACATAGGCCTGGTATCTTTATAATGACAGGAGAGTGAAACATTGAAGAAACATAGGCCTGGTATCTTTATAATGACAGAAGAAACATAGGCCTGGTATCTTTATAATGACAGGAAAATGAAACATTGAAGAAACATACGCCTGGTATCTTTATAATGACAGGAAAATGAAACATTGAAGAAACATAGGCCTGGTATCTTTATAATGACAGGAGAAGAAACATTTAAGAAACATAGGTCTGGTATCTTTATAATGACAGGGGAATGAAACATAGGCCTGGTATCTTTATAATGACAGGGGAATGAAACATAGGCCTGGTATCTTTATAATGACAGGAGAATGAAACATAGGCCTGGTATCTTTATAATGACAGGAGAAGAAACATTGAAGAAACATAGGCCTGGTATCTTTATAATGACAGGAGAAGAAACATTGAAGAAACATAGGCCTGGTATCTTTATAATGACAGGAGAATGAAACATAGGCCTGGTATCTTTATAATGACAGGAGAGTGAAACATTGAAGAAACATAGGCCTGGTATCTTTATAATGACAGGAGAAGAAACATTGAAGAAACATAGGCCTGGTATCTTTATAATGACAGGAGAATGAAACATAGGCCTGGTATCTTTATAATGACAGGAGAGTGAAACATTGAAGAAACATAGGCCTGGTATCTTTATAATGACAGGAGAATGAAACATAGGCCTGGTATCTTTATAATGACAGGAGAATGAAACAAGTGCCTTTAAGTTGGTTTTTATTGGAGTTCAATATAAAATAACATCTAAACTTGTAATGAAAGTAACTTCCAACTGACACCAAATCTAATCTACTGTAAACACTTTTGCTCATTACTTAGTAGAAGGGCTTCTCTAACACAAAGCTATGGTAATAGTCAAGACTAAAACATCATTATTTCCTAAGTGACATCATAGGGCAAATCTTGTTAGCTTTAGTGTAAGTAAAGGGCAAACGTTGTTGGCTTTAATGTAAGTAAAATTTATTATTTCCTTAGTGACATCATAGGGCAAACGTTGTTAACTTTAGTGTAAGTAAAGGGCAAACGTTGTTAACTTTTGTGTAAGTAAAGGGCAAATGTTGTTGGCTTTAATGTAAGTAAAATGCACTGTTTCCTTAGTGACACCATAGGACAAATGTTGTTAACTTTAGTGTAAGTAAAGGACAATGTTGTTAACTTTAGTGTAAGTAAAGGACAAATGTTGTTAACTTTAGTGTAAGTAAAGGACAAATGTTGTTAACTTTAGTGTAAGTAAAGGGCAAATGTTGTTAACTTTAGTGTAAGTAAAGGGCAAATGTTGTTAACTTTAGTGTAAGTAAAGGACAAATGTTGTTAACTTTAGTGTAAGTAAAGGGCAAACTTTAGAGTAAGTAAAACTCACTGTTTCCTTAGTGGCATCATTGAGCAAATGTTCACAGCTTTAGTGTGAGAAAAACTCACCATTTCCTTAATGACATCATAGAGAAAATGTTAATAGCTTTAGTGTAAATAAAACTCCCTGTTTCCTTAATGACATCATAGGTCAAATGTTGTTAGCTTTAGTGTAAGTAAAAATTACTGTTTCCTTAGTTGCATCATTGAGCAAATGTTGTTAGCTTTAGGGGTAGTAACGGGCAAATATTGTTGGCTTTAGTGTAAGTATAGGGCAAATGTTGTTAGCTTTAGTGTTAGGAAAACTCTTTCCTTACTGACATCAAACGGCAAATATTGTTAGATTCAGCATCAGAATACTCACTGTTTCCTTAGCGACATCATAGGGCAAATGTTGTTTGCTTTAGTGTTAGGAGTGAGTCGTTGGAGACTTTGAAACCAGGTCTGAAAAAAACATTGTAAAACAAACTTAAATGCAGAAACGCTTCGTTAAATCATATTCAACATCACAAAATATAATACAATATGGCTTTGCAAATGGCCATTACTATGCTTTTTATCGAGCTATATGTATGCTTGATCCTTATGTTTTCTTTCATCTTTACTGTCTTTTGTAAGAACATAAAAGTCAAGTGAACAATTCTGGTTAAGAACCATTTCTGTGTTGTTTCTACAGTACCCATGAATCATCGTTCTGAACGACACCTATAATAGAGTGATATGATACCTTTGCAGTCTCCGGATCAGCAGCAATCATAGGTGTATAGTTGATGTTGACGAGGTCAAGGCCACTACAGATGGTCACTGTGCGAGTCTCCAGGGTCCCTGATCCCTTTTGCTCCAGTTCAGCCAACACTTTGGGGTCCTGATATAAAACAAAGTTGGACCAGGAAGAATTACTCAGTTGATAACAGACATGAAGGACATGTTCTACACCTATACCAAGACTTCCGGTCGGTAAGTATGATCCTGTCAGTATTAATACCAGTTCAGGTAATTTGAGATCAGAGAAAAGCATCTCTTCCGTTGATGTCTCTGTATAAACTTACTTGGGTTTGATCCAAGTGTCTTTTCTCCCCCTGTACAGTGTTATATTGGCTTGAACGAACTGTCTCTGTTATCCCCTTGTATATGGTAACATGAGTTTGAACGAAGTGATCATTCTCCCCAGGTATAACTGTAATTGTTTTGAACCAACTGCCCTTGTTTTCCCCATGTATATGGCTACATATGTTCAAACGAAGTGTCCATTTTCCCCAAGTGTAGCATTAAACTGTTTTGAACCAACCGCTCTAGTTCTCTATATGTTTAGGGTTACACTGCTTTGAACCACCTGCCCTCTATTTGTAGATACATATACAGTAAAACATGGGTAAGTAGAAGTGGACGGGACCAAATGAAATAATCAACTTATCCAATGGTTCGATTTAGCCCTGTTTCTATGAGCGGAGACATTGTGCATGGAAGATTGGCCCTATTTTTATTGGTTGTTTACCGGATAAGTGTCTCGTAGCATCGCATGACAGTACTAAATAAGTAATAAAAAAATAAACATTTAAATTTTTTATACACTAACGATATTTTTCATTTAGATAATTGTACAAATATAAAACAAAAAATGCACTATGAAGCACTTGTCATTGCAGCACACATGTGAATATGCACCTTAGAGAAATTGATACCTTAAGTAAAACAAGTATTACACTCACATTTGTATCTATCAGAGTAACAAGTCCCGTCAACAATATTTTAAAATAAAACTCATCAAATATGTACTCATGAGCATTCTAAATTGATATAACACTGATAGCACTGAGCAGGGCTACAAGAAAGTGAAGGATGCAGCAACGTCGATGAAACATAATTATACACGGACCACGCACTGAGCAGGGCTACAAGCAGGTAAAGGATGCACCAACGTCGATGAAACATCACTATACACGGACCACACTATAAGTGTGTATACAATAAAACAGAATAAACTTGCAGTTTGTATATGTACATGTATATCCAGTAAATATTTTTAATCATAAACTAATGTTGTAAATGACAAACTAGTATTTTTATCTATCTGCATTGGTGGGGTGGTTATCGCTTTCCCCTTCTGGTTTCCTTCAGCAGTGCGCATAAAAAGTAAACAGAACAGCAGATTTATGTTAAGCAGACTACAGTGTATTTCATTTCAAGTTTGGTTGCCATATTCTTTTTAAATTTTTGTCTATATCACTGTCCCTTTTTTGTCTATATCACTGTCCCTTTTTTTATCTATATCACTGTCCCTTTTTTGTCTATATAATTGTCCCTTTTTTGTCTATATCACTGTCCCTTTTTTGCCATATAATCGTCCCTTTTTGTCTATATCACTGTCCCTTTTTTTGTCTATATCACTGTCCCTTTTTTGTCTATATCACTGTCCCTTTTTTGTCTATATAATTGTCCCTTTTTTGTCTATATCACTGTCCCTTTTTTGTCTATATCACTGTCCCTTTTTTGCCATATAATCGTCCCTTTTTGTCTATAGAAGGCCTAGTTTATTATTTTCAAATGAGCTTCCCCTCTTCTTTGAATTTGATAATTGGTTTTGAACCTTTTTTATTTTGTCAAGTGTCTTTTCATTAGTATTAGAGTTCAAATGAAGATATGGAAATTGGACAAATAGAATATACATTTTACTTAATTGTGACCTAATAAGAAAGTAATTTTTCACCAATGACAGTGTTTTTATGGGGTTTATGTGTGCATAATAAGTCAACTTAAAATTGGTAAGCAAAGATATATGCATATAAGTTCAATGAAGAATTTCAAATGCACAACAAAATGCAAATTTTCTCTTAATACAACTTATTTTCAAAACACTTGGCTAATCTCTGACCTGTAAAAATATGCACTACTAGGCAAGCTCAATGACCTTGACATGAAGAGTTGCCATGGAAGCAGGCAGAATCTAAGAGGATACATCAAGTCTGAAACACCTAGGGAAAAGGTAAACAAAGGCAGTTTTAATTTGCCAGCCTGCCAAGAAATGCCGCCCTCACACACACACCCCAGTTTTATTTTCTATCTCCTAACAGAATTAGACAAACAAGGGTCTCATGAAAGACAGAGTAGGATTGGTGGACTTTCAGCTGAGCATACCCTTCCTATATCAACTTTCCCCAATCATGTACATGGGGAGTCATTTGTAAATGGCTCTGGTACCTAGTTATTTGAACAATATTGATCAATTATTGGTATATCTTGCTGGTTTGCCTTACCAGATTTGATCAGGAGGGGCATGTAAATGGACCATTTAACTGGCCAATCACACCCCAGAGACTCTAGTGTACAAACACTGCACATTGATTAGTTTAAAACATTAGAAATCGACAACAACAACTCTTTTGGAGAAGACGTAGTACATACAGCAATTTCATTTTTGATACAATGTTTATCATATGGTTTTTGATCTTTTATCAGATAATAACTAACATACATTAGCAATTAATATCTACATAGATCTGACTTGATGTTCAATTTTCTGTAAAAGCCTTTCCTAATCCACTGTGTACCAAGTACTTACATTTACTCCAGCTTAGAAACATCAGAGACAGAAAATATGTTCTGCTGTTCTGTCAACATCCTACTTTTCTTGTTGATATTACAGAGATGATGTTTACTGTTGCTCTAATTATTCTACTTGTTTGTGTCAGAATACTGATGAGTGTATCATGATTTTTCATGATCGATCACAATGTGTCCATGATAGTATTTAACATGTAATCTGTCATCCATCTGCTCATGTAAGTACAAATCTGATTGGCAAATCAACTCAACTGAACTTCTAAACAGACAAGTTATAGGTTTGATTTCAACAGCCATGAAGTAAGTGCTGTTGATAGGAAATGCAGAATTATTTTATGAAAAGCCTTTCTTATCTTTTGATGCTATTTAATATACCTAAGATTTAAACAGAAAATTCAATCAAAACAACATGAGATGGATTTAATGGTTTATTTGTAATGTTATCTTGCCTTGTCCATACATCGGGCTTCTTTAAGTTCGGAATAATTTCATTTTCATTTTGAAATCTTTCCTTGCTGTATTAAAATTCTGGGCCCTTATGTTGTTTTAACTGATGTTAAATGACTATTACAAGGCGTCATAACAACTGCCATCACATAACTATTACATGCTGTCGTCATAACAACTGAAAGCACATATTTATTACATACTGCCATGACAACTAATATCATATGACTATTACACACTGTTATTACATTTTATATCTCATGACTATTATAAGCTGTCATGACAACTTACATCACATGACTATTATTATAAGACTATTAATATCTATGAATCACATAGAAAAGAGTTCAAACAGGATTGAACATAGTATCAAAATTGATACCTCTTCACCCAACATTGGGACAACATCCAGGTATTCCAACAGAAGTAGAAGAATTTTAAAGAATTCACTCTATTTTTCCTATTGGGCCCCGCCCCTCTGAGCCCATGGGGCCGTGACTCACAATTTATACAAAACTTATTTCCCTTCAGACCAAATTTGGAAAATATCCTGCAATTCTTAAAGAACAAGATAAATTTTAAAGATATTGATAAATTTTCCAATTGGGCCCTGCCCCTCAGGCCCCAAGGGGACCACACCCACCATTTACATAAAATTGTTTATCTTCCCCAAAGGATGCTTCAGACCAAATTTGATTAAAATCTGCTCAGTCGTTCATGTCAAGTTGCAATTTATAGGAAAATTTAACAATGCCAGATACTGCGGTATCCTTATAGCTCACTCGGCCCTTTTGGCCTGGTGAGCTAAAAATGAGGAAAGATCTTTTCCAGATGAAGATATGGTGCCTTGATAGGATCAAATCATAGTCTCCAACATGATTATGCATTTTCTACCAATTGAGCTACCGGCTGAGCAACATTAACTAACTTACTCCAAATACAGAATGATAGACACACAGTAAACAACTTATTTTTCATGAAAAGTCATATCTCAATAAAGCTTTGGTGTGAGGCTTGGTAGTAACTACTGGTTTCCTCTGGTCAGTTAACAAATCAATAGTTGTCAACATCAACAGGCTCTGGCCACACATAACACTGTATGTATATCCTTTGACTGGTACACTAAAAGGATCTAAACATCCACCATTACATGATCTTTATAACTTATTTGATCTCTTGCCTTCCTTTCTCTTCTTTTCTCTTGTTTGATCTCCATTATATGCTGTACTGATAAGTGAATTAATGATAACATCAATAAAGAAAACAAGCCTATCAGCCAATATATTTCAGGATCATTCCAAAAATTACCAATACACAACAAAGAATCAACAGGTGCATTTTGATCTATTATGTACTTATAGAAACTGTGATAATTAAGAGGCCCATGGGCCTTAACAGTCATCTGACTATAAAGACATATGAAAGAGGCATAATAGGCCTAAAATGTATTGCTCAAGTACTCATCAGCTTACACTGAAGACATTGTTGGTTCATCGAGACATTTTCTGCAAACTTGAAATCATATTCTTTATACATGCATTTGCCATTACCTTGGACTCATTGCTTGTTGAAAAAAGAAAGCTACAAGACCAATATCAAGACCCCTCCCTTGCCTTTCAGTTATTGAGAAGTTGCTTAAGCATTTCGACACTTTTGACCCCTGTGGCCTTGAACGTTAGTCCAGTACCAGCCCCCTGGGACTTTTGGTTACTGGGAAGAAGTCATTTAAACATTATAACAAATTTGATATCTGTGATCTTGAAAGTGGGTCGATGTCATTCCTATTAACAAAGTTGGTAGCCCTTATACTAGCATACTACAGGACTAATATCATCATCCTTGGCCTTTTGGTTATTGAGAAGTCATTTAAAGATTTTAATATATTTGATCTCTGTGACCTTTCAAGGGGTCCAAGGTCATTCCTATCAATTAGGGGTCAAATCAACTTTCTGAATTTAAGAAATATTAATTAACTTTTCCCATTTTTGGCCCGCCCATCCCCATGTTCCTAGGAGTCAAATCAAGTTTCTGAATTTAAGAAATTCCATTCTCAATGATGTTTCACACTAAATTTGGTTGAAATTCATTCAAGCATTAAGAAGGAAGAGCATTTTGAAAGAAAAGATTGTCTTATTTTCTATTAAGGACACTGCCCGCAAGTCCTAAGGGTCAAATCAAATTTCTGTATCTAAGAAATGATCCCCTTCTCTAAATGATGTTTCAGACTACATTTGGTTGAAATCCATTCCAGCATTATAAAGGAGTAGCGTTTCAAAGAAAAATATTGTCTCATTTTCCCATCTTTGGCCCCACCCACCCCCAGGTCCCTAGGAGTCAAATCAAGTTTCGAGTTTCTGAATTTAGAAAAAATGATTTTCTTCTCTCAATGATGTTTCACACCAAATTTGGTTGAAATTCATTCAAGCATTAGGAAAGAGTAGCATTGAAGCCTTACTTCCCCTTTTGGGACCCTGGGTTGAATCATCAATTTTCTGAATTTATGAAATGATTCCCAACTAACAATGATGTTTCAGACTAAATTTGGTTGAAATCCATTTAAGCATTGAAAAGGAGTAGTGCTCTGAAGCAAAATATTGACTACTTTCCCCTTTTGGGGCCCCACCCAAAAGTTCCAAGGGGATACATGACACACAACACATGACGCACCATGCACAACGCATGGCACATGACGCACCATGCACAACGCATGGCACATGACGCACCATGCACAACAACCGACGAAACACCATGGCTATTTGTGAATGATCTATCAAGTACTTCTCAAGAAATGGGTGCTGTTAGTCATTTTGTTTTTGCAATGATCCCAAAATGGATAATGCAAAACTAGGGACAAAGTGGAACATACAAAAAAACTGAAAATGATCCATCAAGCACTTCTCAATAATAAGACTTGCTTAAGGACAGACAAACGAAGGATGAATGATCGGCCACGGATGTAGGACTATTTTAAGCGCCAATTATATGATGGTGGGCTAATAAATCTACAAACATCAGTTAGTACTCCCCACTGTGACATGGTTTTGTTTATACAGCACCTCTGTTTATAACCATACTTGCCATCTGGACTCAGTGGTATGTATTTATATATACATGGACTATAGAAACAAATTTCTCGTGCATTATTGGCACATAGCTAGAGGTAGAGCATAAAATGGTGGAAGAAGCATAATTTCCAAAAACATCAGATATGTTTAAAAGTTAAATGGCTGAAATTAGTGAAACATACAAATGATAAGTAAAAAAATACTTCTGGAATATAAGTCTTGACATTCTTGTCGCTAAGAGAGACCATAATTACTTACATTGATTTTTGGTGCAAGGCCCAGTCTGATGTCATTGACCTGTGATATCTCCAGCACCTGGCCTTCCTATAAATAAACAGGGAGGTTTTATTTTAATGTTTCTGATCATATATCTCATCAATGAAACAGTGTTTCATGCAATACAAGTAATGGAGGAGGAGGGTTACCTTGTCTTTGTAATGCATTGAAAACAGATTTCCTCATTGTTTACATACAAATGCATATATCAACTACACATGCTGAAAATCAATGTTTACAGAATATTTATATAAAATGTAAACAACAGGGCATCTGTCAATCGATGAATGGATGGACAAACCACAGAAATTGCAGACGGTGATCTGACAAATCTGATGAATTCCCAGGATGATATTACAGACCACATTTGGCTTAAATCCACTCAAGCATTAAGGAAGAATAGCGTTTTGAAGCAAAATCATTTATTAACTTTCCCATTTGGGGCCCTGCTCCAAGGCCCTCAAGTCCCATGGGGTAGAATCAACTTTCTGAATTCAAGAAATGATGACCCACCTGCAACAATGTTTCAGTTCAAATATGGTTGAAATTCACCCTGGCATTAAGAAGGAGTAGAATTTTGAAGCAAAATACTGTCCACTTTTGGAGCCCCGTCCCCAAGTTCCTAGGGGTCAAATCAACTTTCCAAATTTGAGAAATGATCCTCCACCCTCACTGATGTTTTAGACCACATTTGGTTGAAATCCATTTAAGAATTAAGGAAGAGTAGCATTCTGCAGCAAAACCATGCCTAACTTTCCCATTTTGGGCCCCACCCCTCAGTCCCTAGGAATTACATAAGTTAATTGTTAACCCTACTGATGAAAATTTGAATGAAATCCATTCAAGCATTAAGAAAGAGTAGCATTTTGAAGTAGAATATTGTTTCATTTTCCCTGTTGGGGCCCCTGCCTCCAAGTTCCCAGGAGTCAAATCAAATTTCTGGATTTAAGAAATGATTTCCTGCTATCAATGATGTTTCAGACCATATTTGGTTGAAATCCACCAGGCATTAAGCAGAAGTTGTGTTTTAAAGGATGGCACATGAGGCACAACAACAGATAATACACGATAGCAATAGGTCACCTGGACCCTTTGGGTCAGATGACTGAAAAAAATAGTGGTATTGGAACGCTTCTTTCAGGCATTTATAGCAATGTATTTATGTAACTTCAGAACTAATGAAAGGTGCATATTGGCATTCAAAAGTGGCCAAATACAATCAACTTTCACCGATTTCCACAATAAACATTAGCTTCTAACATTCAGTTCTAAACATTGGCAGTTATGACCTGCATTAAAGGTTATCTGTAATTTCATTTTTCTTTGTTTTCTCTCAAAATTTGTTGATCTTTGACTTCGAAAAACCTTTCCACAAGATATTCTGCTTTTTGGACTTTTGGTTCATCAGAAGAAAATGTTGAAAGTTTTAACAAATTTATTGAATACAATGTGAATCTGAACCTTTAAAACTGGCATAAATTTTCCTTTAACACAACCAGTCACTGCCTTGACATAATGCTGTTCAGTAACAGTTTGCTTTGCCAAAATGTGATCATCAGATTTCATATGCTTTACAAGCACCAAGCCCTAATTATTCTTGGAACCCAAAACAAATACATTGTGTTGACGTTCAATGTTAATACAGTGAATTGCCATTATTGCATCATTTATTGACCAGTCAATCTCCTTACATGTGAAGTTTGTTTATAACATTTGGCAGTGGACAAAAACAAAAGCAAATGATTGTACCTTTTCCAAATGCACATATCTATTTATTCTTTATTCTAAGTTTTTATTTCAGTCTATACTCAAAATCCATACTGCAGTTAGTGAGCTAATGAGCATACATTGCGACAACGAGGAGCGTAGTGTTCTGTGTCACCTTTCATTTTGATGAATAACAGAATATTTCCAATTATAAAACTTGAACAGCAAGGTTGATATTAGATCATTTCTAATACAGATTCTCAAGCAGAGCTATTTTGAATAGTTCACAGGTTACCATTCTCTACTGAGAGTTGTCGTTCCTTACACTCATCAACACATTCAATAAAAATGGTGTCATAATCAAAACAGTGTTATTGCATAACACCTCATAACTGACGACAATAAGCCTATGGCATTAGTATGCCATAGCATAAAAATGGCTATAATAAGGGACCAAAGAGAATCTATGGTTTCAGAACAATCATTCCAGTACTTCTAAAATAGCAATTACAAACTTCAACTGTCAAAATCCAAGAGAGCCACCTATTTGTCATTTTGTTTTCCTGATAAGCTTAAAATTCAAACATTAAACCTTTTCCTTTCTATTTTCTCCTCTCCTTTCTTTTTTCTCTTAAGCATGTGAATTCCGAAAATTCTTCTTAACCAATAGACATGATTATCTTTAACTGTCAAATCAGAGATGGTCCCCTGTCAGTTATTTTGTTTTGCCTATCAGTTCAGAAATCAAAAGAACACAACTAGGCACCAAGGGGAGCCTACAAACAAAATTTGAGAAAGATCCATCCAATACTTCTCATAGTTTACATAGAAAATGAGTGATCAATACAATATCAAATATGTGGTTTTAAAATAACAAGGTTCCTAGAGTTACGGAAGAAATATTTGCTTTGAGTTTGTCTTATGGGTAACAAAACGGGACAGAACAGTCTGTGATATCAGCCCCCTAGGAATCACAGACCATCCTAGACCAGGACCAAAGCAAAGTCCTTGGATCTTCACTTGTATATATATGATGTAATATTAGCCTGATGCTGAATAGATGGATCCATCATTGCCCCTGTCTTAAATAGATAGTAAGATGTTTGTTACCAGGAACAAGAACACAACCAAAAAGACTAAATATAAACAATGGTATAATTTTAACTTTATGATTTTAACGCAGTATGCATAATGAAAATACACAATACATTAAGCCAGTACAAAATACTAACCCTTCCTTCACTTTTCCAGTAAATGAAGAAGCCATAATCATCAACTTTCACCATGCAGTTAGACTCCAATGTTGAGGATTCCTAAAGAAAAAGATAGAGATATTCTATAAAGGATAAAATCAAAAGCATGTTTTAATTAAGCACAACATCAAGCATACATAAAAATGTTATACTTGCATGTAGTTAAAATTAGTACTTGTAATTAAGGTAAGTTTATTGTAAGTAACTGTCTCCAAAAAAATCCATATATCTCAACAAAAGGCCGTATCAGCATGTACATGTATTGCTTACATCTTATTGAGTGATTTACCATTGCCACATCTGTGGCATTCATAATGTGTTAAAGGTGTATCTTTCCAAGTAAAACTGATTACACTGTAGCAAATCAAACCTTACTGTATTTATCCAGCAATAAGCCTTTTGGTCGATAACAAGCTCTGACAGAAACATAAATTCTAAAACAGGAGATCCCAGAGGGATCTTGAATTTGCACCCACCATAATTTGATCTTCGTTTGGGTCATGGCCCTTAACGGTCATCTGACAATCAATGAATGGATGGACAAACCATAGAATTCACAGATGGTGGTCTGACAAATCCAAGATGATATTTCAGACCACATTTGGTATAAATCCATTCAAGCAAAAAGGAAGAGTAGCGTTATGAAGCAAAATTATTGACAAACTTTTCCACTTGGGGCCCTGTCCCTAGACCCTTGGGGTCAAATCATGAAAATCTAGTCTATTGACCTAATTTTCACCACACAAAAAAACCTTATCCTGTGGTCAGACATTTAAGATGATTTGGTCTATTTACATGATACATGACCTTCAGAAAAGTAGACACAATAATTACCCACCAACCTTTCAATTGGTGAAAAGGAGATTTCAGGTATGGAATCGGATCACTAAACCAAAACACTCACATCCCTTACTTTTGATTCTCTACAGTGTAAAGCATCAATTACATTCCATGGATTTGTAATTGCTTTACCTGCTAAAAATTGTTTACTTTAGAAATCTAAACTTTCCTTGTATACATATTCAATTATGGGAGACTGCGTGAATAACACATACAGATTATGTGTACACAGATACGTTTGTTTCAGTATTTTCAATGAAGGTTTCCGAAGGAACAATCATTCTGCTGGTGTCAGACTTAATTTTTTTTCTTAATTAAATGAACTGGATGTGTGAACAGCTATAATTATCATCATAATAGGCTGTTATCTCCAAAAATACCAGTATCTAAATGTTTGGAGGCGTCAGAGTCGATAAGGAGCATCTGAGGACCAAACACAACCAAATTAAAGTCTTAATACCAATTTCAGAAGAAGATTACAGCTGACCATATTGAAAGTGACTACAGTCTAAATTTCAGTTGGAAACATCGATGGAACATACATACTGTGGAAGAAAAGATATATAATTCCACAGAATTCTCAGTATATATAGTTATTCTGATCTAATGGGAGAAATGATGTTATATAACAACAGATCCCAGAGGGATCTTGGCGCCCACCATTGTTTGATCTTTATTTATTCTTTGAAAGTTGGATCTTTTCCCTTCTCTGTTTTTGCTCTCAATGATAAGAAATTTAAGCATTCGTTTGCAGAAGCACCAATGATAATCTTTACCAGTCCAATCCATGATGGTACTTCTTAAGAAAAAGGGGATAACAATCTTTACTAGGCGAAATCTAAGATTTTCTTTAGCTGATCTGGGCACAACTGGGGATAAAGGGAAACCTACATATGAAATCTGAGAGAGATCCATTAAGAACTTTTAAAGAAAAAGCGTTTCAATCTTCATTAAAAAAAAAAGATGGCCACCTGTAAGCCATTTTGTCTTTCCAATCAGTCCAAAAATCAAATGGGCACAACTAGGGACTAAGGGGAACCTACATCTGGAAGAGGAGAAAGATCCATCTAGTAGTTCTCCAGATAAAGCCATAACAAAAACTGTTTACAGACGGATGGACAATGGACGACCACAGACGTATGACAATTTCAATAGCCCTCCATCTCATGGGCTAGAAATCCACTGATTTTGAGCTGTGGAAGTATATATTATTGAAGGAGACTGTAGCTGACTTGTCATAGGAATTGGTATGGTGGACAACAATTGGTTCATATTGTCAATAAATCCAATTCGGTGGAACTTAAACGGATTAATGCCAATATCACCAAGTCCCTAGGTTGGACTCATTTTGGGTTTGATAGTGCTGTAACTTCAATCAATCATGGCGCTGTCAGTTTGAGGTCCATCACACCGACTCCAATAAAAACCCACATATGGCAGATCACGTCAAATACTGCTTACTACAAACCTATAGCTGATGTGAAACACCAGTCAAATTTGCAACATGTTGATTCATACCGGAAAACAAATATCGACAACAATTTATCACACTTGGTAATATTATAAATCCATCAATAAATGGGCTTCATTCCAGATAGTTATACACTGTAGATGATTGTGCAGAGGTCAATGTGCTGAGGTGACAACCTTATGTCCTTTTCATATTGCGGTAAACATTGTAATCATTTTACAAAAATGCCAATCAACTTGAACAATTTCCTGGAAAGATCCACTAATAACCATACTTCATCAATCTCCATAGTGTGATTAGAGTACCGCATATACCACTGCGGCAGCATGCTGCCTGTGAAATCATTCACAGTTGGGAGTCCATTCAGTCTTAAAATGGATGTCCAATAGCAGCTAAGATGACATGCAGTGACACAAACCTAACTAATTTTAAGGACATAATTATAGACGTTTTAACAAGACCTTATTCTTAAAATACCTCCATATGATAGAAAACTACCATGACAACAATACAAAAATACTGACAAGTATCATCTGTTGTAAACAACAACTAAACCTCAATTATCATCTGTTGTAAACAACAACGAAACATCAAGTATCATTTGTTGTAAACAACAACTGAACATCAAGTATCATCTGTTGTAAACAACAACTAAACATCAAGTATCATCTGTTGTAAACAACAACTAAACATCAAGTATCATCTGTTGTAAACAACAACTAAACATCAAGTATCATCTGTTGTAAACAACAACGAAACATCAAGTATCATTTGTTGTAAACAACAACTGAACATCAAGTATCATGTGTTGTAAACAACAACGAAACATCAAGTATCATCTGTTGTAATGAACTACTAAACATCAAGTATCATCTGTTGTAATGAACTACTAAACATCAATTATCATCTGTTGTAAACAACAACTAAACATCAATTATCATCTGTCACTACATAGACTGTGGATGCTGCAGCACTTATCTGAAATTCTACAACAATGCCAATAAATGGCATCAAAGGTTTGAACGGTAAATAATTCAAACTCCTTCTCGTATCATTTCCTTGGTCTGATAAAGTTGTCATAATTTGTAATTCATTTGTAAATATTGATGAAGGCAGTTTATTGCTAATGTTTTAATTATCTACAAACGTTGTGTTGGTTGAAGGGAATATATACCGTAACTGATGGTGTGAAATGTCATCACAATGAATTGGTTAGTCATGGATTGTCATTCAGTTGGAAAGACTAACAACATTGATTATAAAAGTGTACTGGACTTAATTGGATTTTCCTCTGTCGTCTCCTCGGTTTCAATAATTTAGGCCCTTGTATCACTGACGAGTCCTAGGACAACGAAACAGCTGTATGATGCAGTTTAATTTATTTAGCTCTAATGCATCTATTTCTAAAATTTTATTGATGAAGTGTTATTCTCATGTGTGTCTTTTGTACATCTTTGAACCTATTTTTACACCCTTATGAACAAGAAAGACAACACAAACAGATATTCTTGCTTATTCTTCAACAGGTATCAGTTCATCACTGGTACTACAAACTAACTACCGTTTGAATGTAATTTACTTTTTCACCATGAATTCAGACAGGTACACTTCTTCAAAACCATACTTCTATCAACATACTGAAGACAGGTACACTTCTTCAAAACCATACTTCTATCAACATCCTGAAGACAGGTACACTTCTTCAAAACCATACTTCTATCAACATCCTGAAGACAGGTACACTTCTTCAAAACCATACTTCTATCAACATCCTGAAGACAGGTACACTTCTTCTTCAAAACCATACATCTATCAACATCCTGAAGACAGGTACACTTCTTCAAAACCATACTTCTATCAACATCCTGAAGACAGGTACACTTCTTCAGAACCATACTTCTATCAACATCCTGAAGACAGGTAAACTTCTTCAGAACCATACTTCTATCAACATCCTGAAGACAGGTAAACTTCTTCAGAACCATACTTCTATCAGCATCCTGAAGACAGGTACACTTCTTCAGAACCATACTTCTATTAACATCCTGAAAACAGGTACACTTCTTCAGAACCATCCTGGGAATCCATAATTAACCTTTTGCCTAGTTACCCCTTTTTTTGCTAATAAGGTGAAAATTAAAGGTAAATTTATAACTGGGTAGAAAACAACATTTTTTACAAGTTCAAAAGAAACCCCATAAGTGATTGTTTCTCCATGTATTTATGTTCTTATTATGTAATACTAGGGATATCCTTTGCACTTCTTTACATTTAAATACACAACCATAGAACTTTATCATCAATGTTCTGTCCAACACTGTCATTTCCTGTGTATTCAATTTTAACTGCCTTCTGGAGGCTATCTGATAAAGTGGGCTATATGATGACAAAACATTTTTTAAAACCCATAAAAAATGCAGACTTTACAATATCTATCAAATCAAATGTTGTTTAATCTAAGTAATAGACGGAAGTTATAGTATCTGACAAATCCAAGGTCATTTATCTACATTATAATCAAAAGTTATACACAAACAAGAGGCTTGATGGGCCTGCATTGCTCACCTGGTATTAAATGTTCATCTAAAATATGCGAGTATTTCTCACACCTTACTTAAACCATAAGGCATCTTGGACTTTTGATACTTAATCAAATATAAAATAAAATAAAAAAAAAATAGAGTCATTCAAAGTTATTAACATAACAGACCCATGTGACTTTTAATACAGGTCAAGGCCTTTAAGTCAATCAGAAGAATTTCTTTGATGGTTTTAACAAATTTGATTCCTTTGCCTTTGTAAATGAGTCAAGGCTATTTCTCTTCACCAATTGTGTTGATTTCATACTGGAAACCTATCAGCTAATTACCATTCTTCTGGGACTTTTGGTTAGTCAGAGGAAATTGTTTAAAGGTTTCAACACATCTGACCCCTGTGACCTTGAATAAGGGTCTTGATCCTTTCATTTCACAAAAAATTGTCAGGATTCATACTAAGAACCTCTCAGCCAAATAAGCTTTGGGCCTTTTGGTTAGTCATAAAAAGTTGAATAAAGGTTTTTACAAATTCAACCCACATTGAATATGGGCCAATGTAATTTCTTTTCGATAAACAATACAGGCTTCACCCTAAGTTACTTTCAGCAAAATATTATGCATTTGGGCCTTTTGATTTATCAGAAGAAGTAATTTTCAGGTTTCAACAAATCTGACACCTGTGACCTTGAATTTTGGTCTCAAGGTCACCTCTTTCTTTTGGAAAGAGGACACAAAACAGCATATGCTCATGTGGCCCCTTGGGCTAGGTGAGCTAAACAAGCACAAGGTACACAAATGAAATGATTAATTATAAAACATGTATTTATTAGACTAGTATGTGTTTCATCACCTGTATCTCAACAGATTTATATTATTGTTGTTATAAAATTCTAATAATCTAGATCTGTAACATTAATACACGAAAAATAGGATAGGAAAAGGTCATTCGATTTTCTTTCTTAATCTACAAAACAGGACTTTTCAAGACTTTCATAGCCACTTAGATTCTTAACAATCTTGAAATTTACTCAATCAATAGATCTTTCTTCAAAAACTACAAAAATCACTGCCCAATAAAAAATGTCATCAAACATATTCATGCTGTCATTGTAATCAAACTTTCTGTGAAGTTTGAAGTTAATTCATATATTCAATAAATATTTGAGAAATGAGGCAAACAATGTGTGGTAACACATGTATCAACATGCTGCCCAGCTCAAATGAAAACAAGTTTCTTTTTTAACAATGTTTGTATAAAAACATATGATATCAAATTAAAAATTGCAGATCCTTTAAGTTGTTCTTAGGAAATAGAGGCAATACACATTAAAACTCAGTATCAAAAATGGTTGCTGAGAGTGGCCGCCTTGAGTAGCTGATGAAACTCCAAAAGTGGTATGTACAACCTTACATTAATTATAGTAGTAACAAACTTAATATGCCAAACTTTGGAAAAGGCTACTTTTATGACGACCAACCTATGAATAATATTTCATAACATTCACAATGTGTTATACATGGTCATACTTTTACCCATACCTGAACATGTTCATAATGTTTCAACATCCTTTCAATCGTTCTTTAGTCAGTATAGGGATTAATCTCATTTATCAAAACGGAAAATGGCCACTGGCAGCGGCCTTATGTTCAAAATATACAATGACGACCTATAATGAACATGTGCTGAAAGTTTCCATAAAATTCTTTCAGCATTTCTACAGAAATCACAGTAACAGAAAATTGTTAACAGGATGGACAGAAAGATCAAGGATAAGAAATATTAAAAAAACCACCATCTGATGGTGGTGAGCTTGAATATTAAATAAAGACAGGACAAAACGAAGACAAAATCAATACTATGTGATATTGAAACACCAACCCAAAGTACTGTTATTAGTGCTCCAACGGAATTTAAATTAAGTTTGACATTACTATGAAAAATAGAAGCAACTGACCTCATCCCAGCGCTCAAATACAGCTCCATCTTGCAGGGCTTGTGGAACAGGAATCCTCCACTGGAACTCCGTCACCTTGGCCATTACCAGGAGTATGTCCGTTCAATTACATCATCATCTGGAACCACAAATACACTTACATTACCATCTTTAAGACCAGATCATGATAAAATCTGTCCGACTGCATCACATTTACCTCATCAATGACATTTTCCACTCAAGAGTTGGACAAAAATTGGAGCATCTCGATGCTATTCATGATCATGATCAGCAATACAGCAAACTAATTGATGATGTTAGAACCATAACAGTCTCCCACACATTAACACAAAAGATGATTAAGAATACTTTTATACACTTTCGTTGGTCCATGATGTATTCAAATATAGACCTTTCTTCGGGAAAAAAAATTGGGGGTACAACAATAATTTCCAAACACAAAGGAGGTTTTATTTACTATGAGGTCACCATTTCCATGGAAAAAATGAAATTATCCAGGAATTTCAGTCAGAATTGTGACTTAATTTATAAACATGAATGGTTCTTAATGACAGACCTGAAGAATTTTTAATTTTTAAGAAAAAGTGTTTCTTCAAATTTTTTGTTAATGCTTTCTTACTGTTTTGTATTGGTGGGATTGTACCGGACATATCCATGTGAGAACACCTGACACTTAATTATGGGTAAGGTATATCAATAACATTGCTGAATCAGGACTATTTACTACAATCATTACCTGTACACACTCTAAATGTACCACATGACTTACAAGTCCAGAGAGAATACAATAACAGTTTGAACAGGAGTCAGCTGGTGTCCAGGAACAAAAAACAGGCCCAGACACAATGTGTGACATATAACACACATGGCAATATCTAATACATTCAGTAGTGATAATGACCTATCATCCGACAACATGGAAAAGTACCTGTACAATGGTATCAGGGCAGACACATTAACAAATCAAATAGAGGAATGCTTATATAGCATGTCTCAGAGATTCTTTAAAGAAATTGAACTAAGGATTGCCAAAACAAGAAAATCCATCATTTTATTGCTGCTGGTATCCTCAAAATGATCATAAATTCTTTTATGTAAAGTCTTGAGCATCTATCAGTAATGCATAAACACATTATAAATGATGTACTCACCTGCCCACCTGTAATTATGTTTAAAACTCAATACATGTCTACAAGTCAATTTAAGGTCTAGATCCCTGCACATTGAGCCTCAGCTATATACAGAACATGGTTTGAAACTTATCAGTAATTCATATAAATCACCATGTAGTTACACCTAAAATGTACGGCTACTAGTACAGCATGACCGCCATTAGACCTGATTTACAACATCATATTTAACTTCAATTTAAAGTGCTTACCTTATCAATGATGTCAACTTTGTACACAATTTGAACTGTATCCTGATTACAACAAATTGAAACTATAGTAACAGGTGCTTGTTGCAGATTGCCTGTCACTCATAAATATATCCCTGCAAGTTTCCTTAGCCAAACCTAAGCAATCACACGTTCTATACAAATGTTCTTTTTTTTTCTCAAAAATTTTAGAATTATTTGATTTTGTGAAGATAGGGGAGGGCAAGATAGGTGATTGAGCAAAAGGTTAATTAGATGATTGGGTTTCTGTGCATTTCTTGTTTTAGAGTAAACACAGAATAAGCCAAATCAGACATAAAAATTTAAAATCTTTAAAATACTTGAATGAATGTATACACATTTACTAAATGTACACATGTAGTTAGCCTTGTCAATATACACCTAAACTTGTTAAACCAGTCACCTTGAATCCAATCTATATCAATTACCAGCAACCATTAATCTTTCCTGATGTCCCATTCTTCCTGGGTACTTTCTTTTTATAGTTGGCAGCTATTTACATCATTTCACAGTCGGCAGCTATTGACATTTTTTAATGGTTGGCAGATATTAAGAATAATCATGGTGGAAACCTATTAAGAATAATCATGGTGGGAAGCTATTTAGAATAATCATGGTGAGAAGCTATTAAGAATAATCATGGTGGGAAGCTATTAAGAATAATCGTGGTGGAAACCTATTAAGCATAATCGTGGTGGAAACCTATTAAGCATAATTGTGGTAGAAACCTATTAAGAATAATCATGGTGGGAAGCTATTAAGAATAATCATGGTGGGAAGCTATTAAGAATAATCGTGGTGGAAACCTATTAAGAATAATCGTGGTGGAAACCTATTAAGCATAATTGTGGTAGAAACCTATTAAGAATAATCGTGGTGGAAACCTATTAAGAATAACCATGGTGGGAATCTATTTAGAATAATCATGGTGAGAAGCTATTAAGAATAATCATGGTGAGAAGCCATTAAGAATAATCATGGTGGGAAGCTATTAAGAATAATCATGGTGAGAAGCTATTAAGAATAATCATGGTGAGAAGCTATTAAGAATAATCATGGTGGGAATCTATTAAGAATAATCATGGTGAGAAGCTATTAAGAATAATCATGGTGAGAAGCCATTAAGAATAATCATGGTGGGAATCTATTTAGAACAATATATGCTATATATACTATTCATTTTCAAGATACCACAAGAAAGACAACTACAAATCAGGTCTCATCCAACCAAATAGATACTTGTAAAGATTAAGGAGGTTGAATGAACAACTTTGTGGTGAGCGAGTGAAGAAGCTGAAAAGACCAGTTCACCTTATGAAGATGACCTGTTAACTACCTCTGGAGAAGAAAGTTATCTGGTACTTGAAGCACAGATGACTGGATTGTCATTTGAGATCGAAAGTAGTTGCAATACCTAATGGAGCGAATGGGGCTGAATTACCCATCAAGAACAAAGACATTCACATATCAGTGATCATCTATTACTATATATAGTAATGAACCTCCAGAATGTATAGGCTTTTATACATGTATGTTGTCACACTACATTCCGTCTGAAAGTTAACACTAATCACCTGGTACTTGACAAATTACATGGATACTCAACAAATCAGGATATTTAATTAGTGAAACATATACGAATCTGTGATTAGTTTTAACTGATTCAAACGTAACAGCTGTTATGACTGTTATTGATTAACTACCAGAATATTGGGTTCCAGAGTACTAGTTCAGCTTAATCACTGAAGAGTCCACCAGATGATCACATACATATACTGCAAATGACAAAAAGCTACACCTCTGCTTGATAGGTATAAACATCAATACAATGTATCGGGAGAAACACAAGGAGGGGTAATGTACATACAACTTTACAATAAGGTAATTCAGTTGAGCATTTACAGTGCAACTGTAACCCTAGGCCTGGTAAATACTAGCAGTAACATGCCACTCAACTAGTGAGAGCTTCTCCCTACTTCTGTCAATTGATCACAAGAATAGTAAGCAAGAGGTCCCTGGTTTGAACCCTCGTGGAGGCATGGAAATAAATAATGACATTTTTACATAACATTTCATAGGAAGTCCTTGTACATCTGTTAAAGCTTTATTGTGTGTTGAGGAAATTGCATATTCTTTAAAAATGTTTAACTTAAACTGCTAATCAGATCACTGAGGTATATGACCAATGGTGATAAAAATTTTGATAACACAAACAGGCAATTTATGGACTGTATTATTCATATTGTATGTACTTTTGAAAAGTGCTTTTGGAAAAGTAAAGGTTTGTGTCTTCTAATTAACATGATCCATAAAAAAATCATCTTGGACCCACCATAACTGGATTTCCTTTATTTACATTCAACTTTATACAAATATTACAAAATCTAGATCAAACCGAAGTTTCAGACACTTGTCACACTGGATGATTTTATGTACCATAGATAATATGTTCAAGTAATTTTGATCTCCATATGGTTTCATTAATTTTCCCTCATGTCCTAATTCAGTTATATTGATATCTTAATGTCAACTATTTTAGCCACAATGACTGCCCATTGCCACATCTCAATAACAACCATTAATGTGTACAGTATATTTTAATGTTTTTACTATCACATTCAAGTCACACTGAATTCCCATGTCACATTTAAGTCACATAAGTCTCCAGTGTCATGTTCAAACCAAAATGAGTCCCTAGTGTCATATTCAAACCAAAATGAGTCCCTAGTGTCACATTCAAGTCACAACAAATCCCTAGTGTCACTTTCAAGTCACAACAAGTCCCTAGTGTCACATTCAAGTCACAACAAGCCCCTAGAGTTACATTTAGGTCACAAAAAGTCCCTAGTGTCACATTCAAGTCACAACAAGTCCCTAGTGTCACATTCAAGTCACAACAAATCCCTAGTGTCACATTCAAGTCACAACAAGTCCCTAGTGTCACATTCAAGTCACAACAAGTCCCTAGTGTCACATTCAAGTCACATCAAGTCCCCAATGTCACATTTAAGTCACAACAGGTCCCTAGTGTCACATTCAAGTCACAACAAGTCCCTAGTGTCACATTCAAGTCACAACAAGTCCCTAGTGTCACATTCAAGTCACATCAAGTCCCCAATGTCACATTTAAGTCACAACAAGTCCCTATTGTCACATTCAGGTCACAACAAGTCCCTCGTGTCACATTCAAGTCACATCAAGTCCCTAGTGTAACATTTAAGTCACAACAAGTCCCTAGTGTCATAGTCAAGTCACAACAAGTCCCTAGTGTCACATTCAAACCACTGGTGGAACAGTCTTTTCCATCTTTGGCAGGGGTGAACCAAGGTGCTTTCATTGTTTCCATTGATTGTAGTTTGGCCTCTGGGGTGAAATGATGGACCCACATTTCATCCATAGTCACAAACCTCTGCAGAAAGTTAGCAGAATCTACCTTTAAACAGTTGAGATCAGCTGGCGAAAAAGTCTGCCTTGTGTACTTTTGATCAACAGTCAGAAGTCTTGGTACCCAATGGGCTAAGAGCTTTCTCATAGCAAGATCTTACGTAAGAATGGATGTACTCTTTCGTGTGAAATCCCAACAGTACTGGCTATATATCTCTGGGTAACTGTCAGCCATAACAATATCATGAACTTTATTGACCATTTCAGGGATTGCAGGCCTTCTAGGATGGGTGTCATCCCCAAGGCTCTGCCATGTTTAAATTCTGCTACCCATT